CCTACCTTGCGGAGGTGAGCTCCCTGGAGCTTCTTCATCTTGGAGAACTGGCGCTGGTGCTTGCTGGAGAGCAGAGAGCGAGCGAGGCGGGCGGAGCGCTGGTCCTACAGCTGCGCCTTTGCCCCCCGTGGCTCCCGCGCACCGGCTGAGGAGGGCGCAGGCGCTGCCGTGAGGCCGCTGCGGGCGTGGGGCGCTGCGAACGTCCTGACTCTCTCTCTCTCTCTCTCTCTTTGCTCAGCGCCCTACGCCGGAGAGACACCCAGACAGATCCGATGACGGACAGACGGCGGCGGGGGGATGCGCGCGCCCCCGCACGCAGAGATGCGGATTGGAGCGGCCGGAGCGGGTGGGGAGGGGGGGTGCGTGACAGAAACCATCGGCAGCGGCTACGGTCTCCTGCGTGACCTTGGGCAAGTGACTGCCTTCTTTGGGTCTCCCTTTCATTAGATGGGCGAACAGAGACGCAGGCAGAGTGCTCCTGAACACTGATATTCATGTATGGAGTTCTAGCACACTACATCTTCATTGCTGATGACCTTAAGTTTTTTACCTTACACTTTACTGGGCCGTAAGGAACTCAGGGAGGCCAAACAAAACAACCAGCATGGAGCTGCCACACAGTAGGCACTCAACCAAAGCTGCTTGTTACTAACTGACTGTTGTTTCCAGTAGTCTATCAGTACTTATCCAGTACCTTAAAATGATCCTGGCCTCATCTGGTTTTCTCAACCTAGAGAGGCCCGTGTTAGTCCTTCTATTTCACAGGTGAGGAAATTAAAGGACAGGTAAGGCCACACAGTTAGTGTGTGACATCAACAACAGAGTCAGGCTTCATAGACTTCCCGTAGACATAGTGGCCCTCAGCGCTACTCCTCTTCATGGGATGAAAGTGCAATTGGGAGGCTTGGGGGAGGAAAAGGACAGGTAGGTCTCACTGTGCTGTGGAGGCTTGTGATGTAATGATAAACCAAGTTCCTGTCTACCAGCACTATGGCCCCAGGGCCACGTGTTTAATTTGTGACTAGGGCCATCAGCCAGCAGGTATCTGGCTGAGCTCTGTGAGCGCCTGGGCATCTTGTGAGCCTTCTGCTAGGATGGGGAAATAAGAGCCAGGGAGAAACCAGACGGGGCAAATCCCTGGCCGCTAAAGGTGCCCCCTGCAGACATTTGCCATTAACATGTTTTCCAGCTCCAGCAGGGAGAGGACTTCAGGAGATGGCAGGATAGGTCTGCTCTGACTTCTAGGGTTTGAGAAGAGGAGAAAGCTCCAGAGTTCCTGAGCTGGGTAGAGGGCCCACCTCGCTTTCCCAACATCTGAGCTATTCCTGCCAGAGTCTAACCAGTCAAGGCTCCCCTGACTTAGGAGGAAGGAGCTTCCCCTAGCTGCTTCTGCCCCTAGGAACCTCAGGAGGCCAAGATGGGCAGAGGGCATTTCCTGAGCCCTGCTGTATTATGATGGACGCTCATGTCTAGTATTCAATTATTAATTCTTCCCAGGAGCCCCAGAAAGCAGGTATGTGTAGAACAAATTTTATACACGAGGAAACTTGCTCAGAGGAATGATGTCATATGCCCAAGACCTCAGAGAATGGCTGGGCTTTGGGAATAAGCCTGGAGTGCCTATGGCCCTCCCTGTCTGGGCAGGACCAGAGGCCTGGGGCTCAGGAAGGAGGCTCTTGCAGGTTCCCCCCCTACTACTCTCCCTTTGCCACTGGAAACTGTCAGGCCTTTGGAAGGTCCAGAGGGCTTCGGGACAGGGCTGGGGTGAGGCCATTGACTTTGGATCCCAGAATACTGGCCTCTTCCTGGCCCCTGTATAGCAGCATGTGGTTAGAAGGCGGGGGCCAGACTGAAATTTAGCCTTCCTTGAGCAAGTATGATGACCCCTGAGCTTTGGCGATAGTCACTGAGGGCATGGGGTGCAGGGGGCTGCGCCCATACTTTCCAGATGGGGAAACTGAAACCCAGGGAGGGCAGTACTGGCAAAAATCACTTAGGGTGGGGCAGAGCCACACCTGGAATACCAAATGTGAGCCCATGCAGGCAACACTTCCTGATCACCTCTCTGCCACCATCTCCCTGTCACCAGCCTTGGGTGGGGAAAAAAAAAGCAAAATACTAAGGTTTCCTGGCAGATGCTGACCGTATCAGTCGTTCTACCCCCTGAAGTTCCAACTCTGCAATTATGCAATAAGCAAGGGTTCAGTGACCAGACATACTTGACTGTCCCCCATCCTGAGGGACTCGGATGCCAACACCCCTTAAATGCTCCTCCCCTGCCCTCTTATCCCCGCCCCTCCCTTTCCTTCTCCAGGCACGTCTCCTGGTCTCACCACAAGCCAGGAGTGAAATGGAGATGCGTGCTGATTTAAGGAAAGTGTCAGATGGAAATGTACTTCCTTTATTATATAGGGAGATATTTTTAAGTGCATATAAATAAACATTTTTAATTTGCTTAAACGTTCGGATTTTGTCACCGTAGAGCATGTGTTTTGCTACGCGAGGAGTGGGGACTGTGAAAAACCGAGGCTCCAGACTGCCAGTCCATCTGGTGCAGAGAGGAGGATGCCCTTCTAGAACGGGCCGGCTGACCAGCCGGCAGGGATTGCCCTCTAGGGCCGCTCTGGTGGGCTGCCCGTCTGTCTCCCCATGGCAGGCCAGGCTGTTTTTCTCAAATAGAAGACCTCCTCCAGGTTTCTGCTGCCATGCACGCATAACCCCTCAGGTGCTGGAGCCCTCCTCTTCCAAAGCTTCCAACCTGGAGTCTCTAGAACCTTTCTGGGGCCTCATAGCCCCTGTCATACTCCCTTGTATGTGTGTGGGGGGAGTAGGGGGTGGTCACAGGTGCTATTATCAGTTTCCTGGGTTTGAAGCACGAGGAACATTGTAATCCCAGCATTCTGGAGGCCGAGGTAGGAGGATCCATTTTTGTTCAAGGCCACGCTAGACTATATGGTGAGTTTGAGGTCAGCCTGGGCAGCAAAAGGGCTCAACAGGTAAAAGCATTTGCTACAAAATTCCGTTTACATCCAAAACAACTGGACCGGAGCAGGAAATGGGGGCCCAGAGAGGGGAAGTAGTTACCCTGAGGTCATATGGATCAGAAAGCTAAACTCAGCCGCTACCAGCCTCTCCCCATTCCATTCTGGTGCCACCTGATTTCTGCAGCTCAGATGTCAACTGCTACAGGAGGCCCTGTGGTCTTCCCCCAGTGGATGCAGGAGAGAGAAAAGGCTGGTGTGTTGGGACTGGAACACCTGTGCACTCTTATCCCAGGCCCAGGAGCAAAGGGCGAAGGCAGGCAGGCTGAGCACACTTTTTATGACCTAGCCACCTCCCAGAACAGTAAACAGAGGGGCAAGCAGCTGGCACCAGAACCCTCTGGGCAGAGAAGGTCCTAGGTAAGTGACTTCTGCCCACCTCTGGGAAGAAGGTGAGAAGTCCCCTCCCAGAAGCTTAAGGAACACTCTACGTTCCCATTGCGCTGTTCCTCCTTCCCTTCTGGACTTGGACCATCACACAGGGTCTTAGCTCAGCACTGCCTTCCCCAGGAAGCCTCCTAGGGCCTCTGGATGCACCGGGAGCCCATCTTCATTCCATCCCCACACACCGCACTGGTTCCTGCTGTGTCCAGAGCAAAGTTCTGACTGGCCCTTATCTTTTTATATTAGCACCACTATGCACTCTTCCCACTGGGCCAGGTACCTCTTGGGGAAAGGGCTCTGCGCTTCCCACCAGGCCTGGTGTGCAGAGTGCAGTGTGAATTTTTTCACAATGATTTTCAACAAGTTTGCAAGAAAAGCTGAACTGAAAGCGCCAGGATCGGAAGGATTCTGAAGCGCTCACCTAAGACTCGCGTTCCTTCAGCCTCAGAACCTGCCTTGGCAGGGCCCTGTTTGATGGGTCCTGGTTTTTTGTTGTTTTGTTTTTCGAAACAGGGTTTCTCTGTAGCTTAGGAGCTTGTCCTGTAGACCAGGCTGGCCTTGAACTCACAGAGATTCACCTGCCTCTGCCTCCTGAGCGCTGGGATTAGAGGCGTGCACCGCCACCGCCCAGCGACCGGTCGTGTTTTAAAGGTGACTTTGTTGGGGGAACTACAGAATGGGAAGGAGACACAGTCATGAGGAAAGGATGATGGTGATGAAACTTTTTATAAAATTCCTTTAATGCTATGTATGATTTTTATAAACTGTTTAAAGGAGAAAAAACTTATTTCTGAACCTGCATTCAAGATATTCCATTCTCCCTAACCTCTGTCCAGTTGTGAGTTCCCTATGGCTTGGGGCCTCCCTGGGTGTGATAGACAGTCAGTCTATGGGGAGATGGGCATGGGCAGGTGGTAGACTCTGTCTAAGTCTACCCCGAGAGGCTTCCCTTTCATCCATAGGCCTTCCTGGGGTGCTAGGGAGGGTACAAGTTCTGTCTCAAGAGCAGGGACCAATTGCCCAGTCCTGGACCTCGGGCCCAGTCCTGGTAGCTTTGAGAGCACCTCCAGGCTGGGGAGGGATAGAGCATGGGGTGTGAGGGCAGGTGGAGGTGAGGTTTCAGGTGGAGACAGGTAGGACTGGCATCAACCTTACACTTCACATGTGAGTCTAGACCCATGTGTGCCCCTTCTCTCAACACTGACTCCTCTCCAGGGCCGGTCTGCTCCACGCAGCAGCCTCCCAGGAGGAGGAGGAGGTGGAGCCTCAGTCTTGTCTGAACAGCTTGTTGAGCCCTCTGGATCTTGAGATAGCTCCAGGTGACTGAGACCTCTCAGTGTGCCCCCCCCCCCATCACCCCATGGCCTAGGACACAGGAGCTGGAAGAGGTCCTTGTCCAAAAGGCTCATCACATAGCCCAGCCAAGGGAGGCAGGGAATTGGCAAGTGACTTGTCCTAGGTAGGAAATTTGTCCACAGTGACCTCAAGGGTCAGCAACAGGGCTGGAACTCAAAACAGGCTTCTTTGGCTCCAGCATTCGAGTGCCTAGATCCCTGGGCCCCAGGCTGGAAGGGTCTAGGGTAGAAATTCCTCCTTGACAGGCACTGGGGAGGGGGTACCCAGAAGGCCAGCATTGGTGGGGCATAGACTACCCAGGGGTGGCCCTGATGGTGTGGGGTTGTCATCCAGCGGCAGGGGCAGCTGCGAGGGAGGTAGTGGCTGCTGCTGTTGCTGTTTCTTCTTGTTCACTTTGCGCTCCTTGGCTCGACGGTTCTGGAACCAGATTTTTACCTGTTGTTTTGTTTTTTCTTTTTTTGTAGCTTTTTTTTTTTTGTGTTGTTTTTTGTTATTTTGTCTTTATTGTTTTTTTTTTTCTTTATCCATTTGTTTTTTGTCTTTGTTTTTCATTCTTTTTTTTTCTTTTTTCTGTTTTTTTTTTCTTCCTTCTTTTCCTTCTTTTGCCTTTTTTCTCCTTATTCTTTTTTTTTTTTTTCTTCTCTTTGTTTTTGTCTTTTTTGTTTCGTTTGGTTCTTTTTTTTACTGTTTCTTGTGTTTTTGTTTTTTTTTGTTTTTTTTTTTTTCTTTTCTTTTTTTTGTTTGTTGTTTTTTTTCTTGCTTTGTTTTGTTTTTTGCTTGTTTTTTGGGATTCTTTCTTTTTGTTTTTTTCTTGTTTTCCTTGTTTTTTTTTTATTTCTTGTTTTTTTTTTTTTTGGTCTTTTTTTTTGTTTTTATGTGTTTGTTTTTCTTTTTTTCTGTTTTTTGTGTTTTTTTTTTTTTTTTTTCTTGTTTTTTTTTTGTTTGTTGTTTTATTTTTTGTTTTGTTTTTCTTTTTTTTTCTTTATTCTCTGGTGTTTTTTTTTTTTTTTTTTTTTTTTTTTTTTTGTTTTTTTCTTTTTTTTTTTTTTTTTTTGGTTTTTTGTGTTGTTTTGTTTTTTGGTTTTCCCTATTATTTTTGTTTGCTCTTTTCAGGCAGCTGGCAGCTAAGACACTGCTAGCTGTGTCAGATCTTCCGTTCACTCGGAAGGGCTCAGTGCTGTGGGAACAAACTCCCCAGATGGTTTTGACTCAAGGGTCCCCAGGGTGTGAGTCTGAACACCAGTGTTATGAAGGGGACACCTGACTGGTGATCGTAGACTGGGGTAAGGGAGTTGCCAGACGCTCCCCCTGCCCACCCTGTGCAGGGAAGTCACAACGGTGGAGGACACACAGGACGCAGAAGTACCCTAGCTTGGGGGGCTCCCCAGATCTACTGAGTGCTAACCCAAAGACTGAAAGGCCGGGGGCTGTTGGTGGACCCCAGGGTCTGCTGGGTACCCAGGATATTCAGGACACCAAGCCCGGCTCTAGGTTGCACCAGGGGCCAGGGGCTGATCTACCTGAGCTGTCCACACTCCCTTCCATGTCCAGGCACAGAGCAATGACTCAGCTCCTTCCACTAGACAAACCAAGTCCCTGCCTCAAGCCACACTCTGCGGTGGGCAGGGAAAAAAATGAGAAGTCCCTGCTTGAATGCTAGGGGAAGGAGGCAGACAAAAAGAAAATAAAAATGGAAAACACTGGCATTGTTCACTGGCAATTATTTTGAGGGAAAGAAAGAAGACAGGGCGCCTAAGAATCTGGCAGTGGGAAGCTGTGGGAATTTCAGACAGAGTGGGGCTGGCCGAGGAAGGTGGCAGTGCCACCTATAGCCCCAGCTACTCGGTTGGGTCACTTGAATCCAGTGATTCAAGACCAGCCTGGGTAACACAGCGGGACCCCTGTTTCAAAAAGAAACAAAGAAAAAGTCAAACATTCAACACCATGGCCCTTGAAGCTGAACCGAGAGAAAGAGCATGCAGGCTACCTAGAGAAACAGAGTCTGGTGGAGCGGACAGAGAATGCAGAGGCCTTGAGGTGGGGGCATGTCTGAGGATGAGTGAGGAAGCTGGTGGGACAGGGTGCAAGGAGCAGAGGGGATGGGGCAGAGGTCAAGGGGAAGGGCTTAGGTTCTCCTCTGCCTGGAATGGGAGTCACTGCAAAGTTCTAAGCAGAGAGGACACGCCGTCTGCTGCAGGCTTTCATGTTCTTCTGGCTGCTGTGTGGAGAGTAGATTAGGGGCAGGAATATGAAGGAGGTGCAGGAAGGACTGACATGTCTCAGGAAAAGAGGGTGGTGGCTTGGTTTCCAGATAGTGCAGCCTGGGCCAGGAGCTGGACTTAAGGGTTGTCTGAGGTTATTAATATCAGGGTTGCCTTTGGAGCTGAGCGTGGAGGGCTGTCTGCGGAGAATATTACTGTACGGGGCCTGGATGAACACCAACTTTCTCTGTAAGAACCTGAACCCATGGCTGAACTAGAAGGTGCACGCCGACAGCAGGCATGCACACGCCAGGGCACAACCGATCCTGGGATAACCCTGGATCTCCCTGCCACCCACGCACCCACAAAAAGCCTGGCCTTTGCCTCCCCACTCTGAGCCTTGGCTATGCCTGTCCCCCCATGCTCTTGCACTAAAGACCTACATCTGGCCCACCTCCACCCATCCATCCCACACGGACTTGGCAGGACAGACTCAGGCTCTTCTCCAACCAAGTGGTTCTGTGGGGGAATGGGAGACAACAGCTGTTCCTAGGCGGCTTCTCCCTGGGTTTTCTGCCAGAGTGGCAGAGCCACACTGGCCACTTCCACATGCACCAAGCTCACAGTACCACCTGACAGCAGAGACATAGCCCAGGATGGCCTGCAGTCCTGTGCCAGGCATGGTGAGAGGAGGGGCTGAGGGAGAGGCTGCTAAGGCCTTGGCTCCAGATGAGGCTCCTCCTTGACCTAGAAAAGTCACTCTTGGCTCAGAAACAGCTCTGCCTGAGGCTGCTACCACCACAGCTTAGCTGGGCTCTGAACCCACAGCCCACTACTGGGATCACTAGCTAGAGTCAGAAGGAGTCCTGGGATTTCGGTCCCCTGCCAGCTTCAGATGAAGAGACCATGGTTTAAGGAAGTCGTGCGGCTGCTGGAGGTCTAAATAAGAGGCCGGTGAGCTCTTCTGGGAGTGTCCAATTGCAGCTGTGGGCCGCAAGTGTCCCACGACAGCGATGAACGCTGTCTCTACACATCCTTAGATTACTACTGAATAGAATAATGTCAAACGGTTGGCTACTCCTGCTAGATCTAGTCCAACCTCTCTGCAGAGTCAGGGTCACAAGAGGACAAGTGGGCACACCTGTGCCAATGTCATGCCCTCTAGCCTAGAGTTGCCTCCAACGCATAGCTCCCCATCTCACCATTTTTAGGTACCACCGAGCTGCCCAATATCCTGTGTAGGCAATAGAAGCTACAGAGCATACCACGCCTCTATGTCCATTCCCTGGAATAAAGGGTCAGATCATGGCAAAAGTAGACCAGAAAGTCCGGGCCGGCTAGGATTGATGGCCTCGGGCTGGGAATTTCAAATGCCAGGAAGACTACTAGTGGTGTCCAAAAGGATAAGCTGAGCAGCAGAGGGGGCTTTGATTGCAAGAGCCCAGTCATGAAGGCAGCTGTTCTTTTAGTACCTAGCTTGCTCACCCTCTCTGTCTCTCTCAGCTCCCTGCCTCTGTCCCCTTGTGCCGAACAGCAGGGACCCACAACAGTCATTTATAGCTGGGAGCCAGGGCACAGAAAGCTACTCTCTCTGAGGCCATCAGCCTGGTAATAACAGGAACCAAGATCTCCAGATTAGGGTGTTGGCTGCACTGCAGCACCTCTGTCCCCACCGGGGTCAGTGGAGTCCTAGTCCATAGCCCTGGAGGGGAGTTGATAGAATTAGGAACCTACTGGCCAACTTCTATCTAGCCCAGCTGCTTAAAGTGCACAGGTTGATTGCTAAGAAAACATTCAGCAACGAGCAAAATGTTCAATCCCTTGTATGGTCCAAAAACCAGGGACTCCTATCTACTGTCCAGAGTGAGCACTAGCTGGAGCATCCTCCTAGGAGCCAACTAAGCATCATGTATCCTGATTTTCCACGCACAAAACCTTGGCCATAAGCTCGACTCCCAGGAAACAACCTCGCAGAGAACTGCCCACAGCAGTGATTGTTGCTAATAGCACAAGACTAAACACAATGCCCATACCTAAGATCAGGGAGCTGGTGAGCCCCCATGGAGAGGAGCACTGAGCAACTAGACATGTATGAGGGCACAAGACACGGGCTACTAGAAGAACAGCCTGCTACCAGCCTGGGGAGATGGCTCAGTAGGGAACGTGATGGCTACACAGGTATGGGACCCGAGTTCAGATCCCCAGAACCCATGTAAAGCCAGTTATGGGAGCTCCCTCGCCTGTAATCCCACTTCTGGGGGTGTAGGGTGGAGACAGGTGAAGCCCTGGGGCTCCCTGGCCAGTCAGTCAGCTCTGGCTTCAGTGAGAAACCCTGCCTCAAAAACTAAGGTGGAGGGCGCTAGAGAGAGATACCCAAAGGTACAGGTGAACACATGTTTATGAACACACACACACACATAGGCACACGCAAAAATACATAAAAATTAGACATTTGTGAACTTTAGGTAGCATATCATTTTATAGTTTTATGTTATTTTTTTCCCTAAAAATATGTACAAGAAGCCAACAACAGAAGCTACCTCCTCCAGGAAGGGAGCTGGAGGTGGAGAGACATAGGGACGAGAGTGATTTTAGAGGCTTCAAGTTTCACTATGTTCGGATCCATTGCATTATCTGTGTGTGTGTGTGTGTGTGTGTGTGTGTGTGTGTATGTGCACGCGTATGCATGCACGCCCATGTCAGTGGAGGTTGACTTCAGGGCCTCATTCGTAGCAGACAAGCATTTGACCATGAGGATATATCCCCCCAGCCCTTTTTGAGCTTTTTAAACTTTGAGGTGAACCCTGAATTCACTTTGTAGCCCAGGCAATTTTTGAAGTTATAAACTTCCTTACCTCGGCCTCTTGTGAGTGGGAATACAGGCCTGCTTCTCCAGTCCTGGTTTTATTTTTTTATTTTTATTTTATGTATTTACTTTAAAGATAGGGTCTTAAGCTAGCCTTGGACCGCTATGCAGCTGAGGATGACTTTAGACACCTGGTCCTCCTGTCCCCATCTCCAAGTACTTGGATTACAGGTGTAGCACAGCCCCTGGTTTATATGTACAGAGAAGGAACCCTGGGTCTTGTGCATGCTAAAACAGCAAGCACTCCAGGGAGCTACACTCCCAGCCCCTCAACTCTTTTTTTTTTTTTTTTTTTTTTTTTGGTGTCTCTGTGGTTTTGGAGCCTGTCCTAGCTCTTGTAGACCAGGCTGGCCTTGAACTCGCAGAGATCCACCTGCCTCTGCCTCCGAGTGCAGGGATTAAAGGCATGCGTCACAACCGCCCGGTTTTATTCTTCAAGAATTTCATACATGTATATAATGGATTTTGATCGTAACTATGCCCTCCTCCAGCTGCCCTAGGAGCTGCCTTCTCCTTCCCA